GCCCAAAACTTGGGGGGGAAATAAAGAAAACAGTAAAGGTCCTAGTTAATTCTATTACATCCAGTACACAAATACAATAATATGAATGTAAACGTGCGTGAAATAGAAATGAAACGTCTAAAAAAAACCTAAGGTATGAAATCTTTTTGCTTTGTTTTTTTGATTTTTTTTATGAAAAGAAAATAAATTAAAAGATAAAATTAAACCTAAATTCTAATTTATTTTAATTTTTGAAAAAAAAGATGTTAAAACTAATTAATTAATTAATTCATAAATTAATTTAATTAATAAAATCTAATCCTAATTTTTATGATAAATTTTTTTAGAAATATTTTGCTGAGTAAATAAAACTAAATAAAAGGAAATAATACAACAAAATTCAAAGGGACGGGATGGTTAAGGAGACTATGTAAATTGTAGCATGCAGGCATGGATCGAAAAGGAGTCTAGAGCTGCCTTTCGATCCAATGAGGAAGCTGGTCGAAGGTGCATGATATATTCCTTCGATCTACAAAAAAATCTATTGGAGAAACAAAACAAAAATCCAGATTTGGATCGAATCTAGTCTTGAATTCGACAGCCTATGGTTGTATCATCCTAATTAGAATCCCCTAGATATGAATCGAATGTCATTTTATCTTGCAACGTCATGAATCCTGAGATTCGAAGGAAAACATAGATCGTGCCCAAGCAATGGCACGATCTCACCCATACACTTAATCTTGCATGTAACGCATGAAAGCAATAACAAACATTAGCAATAACATGAATGTATGATTAACATGAATTTAAAAATTGTATACTTAGCTAGTTTGAGATCGAAAACAAATTACCAACTCATAGATTGTGTGAGTGATGCTCCAGTGTATGTTAGACCTGCCTAGTGCTTGGGAACGCCTCCTGTAAACTTCAGGGAGTGAGTGGAGCGCTTGTTGAAGGTTGCTTCGATTTTGGATCACTTATGAGATTTTTGAGATTTTTGAGATTTTTGGTGTGGCTTATGAGGCAGCGTGTGCGTGTAGTCTCTGAATTATAGAAGTGTTGTGTATTTATAGGAGATGAAGAGAGGGTCATAGCATGGAAATGGCAAGAGACATCCATTAACTAGGCTTTGAAGGCAAAATCAGACACATTAAAGGATTGCCTTTTTTGATGAATTCCTACCCCTTTGAGCTTTGGAATGAACCTGGACTTGTTTGACTCCTTCGAATACCCTCAATACTTGCTCTTAGATTGGCCCAGAGTTGCCTCCTTCGAATGGCTCCAATCCTCATCATTGAGACTTCTTCGATTGAGCCCTTATTTTCCTTGGTAGCTTGATCTGAAACTTTTCAACTAACTCAACCGAAAAATCTTTTCTGGCCAGTTGAAACTTTTTTTGTCATGAATGTGATTGTGCAGGAGGCTTGGACTTGGCAACATGTTGAACTTTGGCCAGCAAACATCTTGGACTAAGACTCATCATAAAACAAACTGGTTTCTTACAATAATGTGTCCTTCGAATGGGCCAATTGTAGGTCCTTCGAAGGCACCATTTGTGCGTCCTTTGAATAGCCTACATGCACCCCTTGTGCATTCTTCGAATGGGCCACAAATGTGTTCATAATGTAGAAATCTTGTGCTTTGTGAAACGAAGGTAGGAACGAAGAGGAAACCTTTGCCTTACGCGCTGAAGGCAAGCATAAATGGAGTATTTGTCTAGTGGATCAAAGGAAAATTTGAGGAAGCCTCTGCCTTATGAATCGAAGGTCAGTTGAAAGGGCCCTTTTGCCATGTAGATCGAAGGCAAGTTGATGGGCCTTTGCCTTGTGAATCCAAGACAAACATGAGGAAACTTTTGCCTAGTGGATCAAAGGAAAACATGAAGAGACATTTCTCGATCGAAGCTAGATAGCCATTGCTTTGTGAATCGAAGACCAGTTGAAGGGGCCTTGGCCTTATGGATCTAAGGCGAGTCTGAAGAAGTCTTTGCCATTGTGAATCCAAGACAAGCATGAAGAAGCCTTTTGCCTTGTTGATCGAAGGCAAGTTAAAGGGGCATTTTTCCTTGTGCGCTGAAGGCAAGCATGAAGAAGCCTTTGTCTAGTGCGCTGAAGGCACGCACAGAGGAAGTCATTTCCTTATGGGTCAAAGCACACATGAAAGAAGCTCCTGCCTTGTGAATCGAAGGAAAGCATGAAGAGGAGGTTTGTGCCTTATGCGTTGAAGGCGAGCATAGAGAAGGCACTGCTGGAATGATATTTGTGGATCCAAAGCATGATCGAAGGGTTTTAGAGGCCTAATCAAAGCTGGTGGACCAAAGCTTGATCGAAGGGCTCCAAATACCCAATCGAAGCTTACTAATCAAAGCATGATCGAAGAGTTCCAAATGCCCAATCAAAGTACCTTGTTCATATACCAATCGAAATACACTTGATTATCTACAAAAAAATTATATTTTAGCTACGCAAGTGTTTGTAACCACCCCATGTAAGAGAAGATCTTCGAAAACATGAGAGGGCAAATTTTGGGGTACAACACTCATCCTCAAAATTAGCAGCCATTTTTTACCTAAAAAGCAGAGAACAAAAATGAATTTGACGATCAACTCAAATCCATCCTTCCATCGCTAGTCAAGTGAAAGGGCGTATGAAGATACAAGAATGACGTCCTCGGCCAAAGCCCTTACTCTAACATCAAACGAAGATAAGGTTTAATTTCTCCTCTACTGGTTTAGAGCCTCCCCGACAGGCTAATCCTTAAACCCTCCCGAGGAGGATCTCCCTGGCATATTGCCTAGAATCCCGTTTGAATGTTCATCAAAAAATGCATACATACATAGTAAAACTCATGAGTTCGCCAGAGAAATCATGAGCCACTGTGGTGACGAACTCGCTCTCTGCGATGACTATGGCCCCAGGTCGATCGAATACGCACAAATCTCCAACGCAACCTCACCCTCTCTTCGGCGATAGCATCAGAAAGTGGCATAACCACCGTCAAACACCAATAATCGTTGAAGCTACACTCACCATAACTAAATCTATCTTAAACTGCATGCATTCTACTCAAAAGAAAAGTTAAGTCTAGCATAAAATGAGGTAAAACAGAAGACTTACGTGGTCGGAGAGATCGAAGTTGTGTCTGGATGTTTTGTTACGACGGTGAACGACGGCGACAGAAGCTCAGAACAGAGAAAACTGAAGAAGAAGAAGAAGAAGAAGAAGAAGAAGAAGAAGGAAGAAGAAGAAGAAGAAGAAGAAGAAGCAGCGAAAAACACAAATGTTCTTCGGCCTCTCTAATTTATAGAAGGCCATCAACACACGTGCACGCGCGACCTAGGGCAGCGTAGGAGTCATCATTAAATCCTAGCCCCTAGACTACCATCATTACACATTAATGGAAACGCGTGGCTCGATGCATGCGTGATACACAACCTCTCCAAGTTCAATCAACTGTCCGGCTCCCTGCGCACCAAACACATGAGGCAACGTTTAGGTTCCTCGTACATACTTGTCCTCGGAGAATCACAGGATGTCTCCGTCTCCAGTAGCAGGCACCAAACATGCCCTTCCGTCATCGACGCACGAGCTGACTCTAAGTCATTACACATATGCTTAGGAACAACGACTTGGAAGGCTCCTTCTGGACTGGTCTAATGACTAGACATGGCCCAATCCACTTCTACGTTCAAAATGGCCCAATAGCTTTGGCCCAATCAGTTTGGATAGACAAATGACAATTTTCCCTTTATGCCCCTCACTCGAGGATCTGTGGTCGGTTGACCTCCATGATCAACGAGACCACCTCTGCTCGCTCAAACAGGCTAGTCCTCACCCTGTCAGCCACACACTGACAACCACCCAGGAACAATCAGAATCATGCTTGTCCGTGAATACTTCTTTGCTCGTTATAACGGCTAGTTCTGAGCATGTCTACCCGTCATCACGGCTAATTCCTGGCAATCACCTATTTTTGAGGAACCTGATATTCAGACCCAAAAAAAACCAATAGTCAATCGTCAGAGACATTATATAAACCCTCACACTTGTGAGGGTCAGGTATCCAATATTCAATATTCAACTCTAAAACCCCAATATCTTTCTTGTATCTCTTTACACTCTTACTTACTTGAGCGGCGGAGTGCCTTACAGGTACACTCCCTCCTCCTAGTTTCCAGCACAACAGATTCATCTATCAACCCATTACAGATTCTGATCACAGGTATGATCAGATATAATTGAAAGAAGTTTCTACCTAATATCTGAATTTTTGTGTAGGATTTACATCCAATAATTTAAAATTGAATTTACCTATAATTTAAGAGTTGTAAGAGTTTCACACACAACACTTAAAATCAACCAGCTGTATTTGTGTTGAGCAACACGAATCAGTCTTAAAGTATTAGCACAAATCATTTTCCATAAGTTTGCAAGACAAAGTTTGAGCGCAAATAAAAAGATGCTTCACCCATGAACTTAAATGTTTCAGAAAATTTTGGTAATTTAAGAAGCAAACAACAAAAGCTGAGTGTTAATTTTGTATGCCTTTCAATATGGACAAGAAATAACCTGAATTTGTTCTGAAAGGTCCCCTATTAGCTAGTATCAAACCAAGTGCCCCTCAAACCAGCACATGCACGTGAAATGACTCTGTCATGTTTATACAAAATAGAGACGCATCTGCACGTGAATGGTTCTGGTATATAACCAATAATTATGGCAAACTTCATTTTCTCATAGTGTAATGATTAAGAAACACCTAATTATGTGATTTCCATCTTCACACATAAAATGTGTCACTTCTGTATGTGTTTTGCGAATAATCTTGCATATTACATTTTGCTAAGATACCAAACACTATATTTTGTTTGAGAGAGTGAACTGTAGTAAACATAGCAGAAACCTTTCTAAGCTAGTCCATATAGAGATTATCATTTCTGTTTAATTACTGCTGTAAAACTTCGTTGTTTATATACAAACAAGCTACTTCAATTCACCTCTTCGTCACACTAGCTATAGCTAACGACTCTTCTCTTCCTCAACTTCTTGAAGCAGTACTTCTAGCTCTGCTTCTGTCAGGGACTCTAATCGTTTCTGCAGATTCAATAGCGGAAAAGTTATATATTGAGAAAATGTAAACACACATCATGCTGCAAACTCATTTTTACTCGTAGCAATATAAAGAATAGTTTCCCAAATGATGAAAACTGGAAAGGTGTAGTAGTATCAAGAGTTCATATCAAAATGCAAGTAGTACCAATAAAAGGAAAACATTCTTCATAAAATGACAAGGCACAAAGCAATTGATTTTGATTTTGATTTTTTAATATCTGACTTACGGCATAATTGTCTTTGGCCAAAGTTTCAAGCTTCAAATATTTCTGTCTAAAGCATTTCTTTTAAGATATCTGAATGTTTCTCAGTCTCTTAGATGCTTCCAATTTGAACATTTTTAATTAGTTACGGGAATGATTCTCTAATAGTGTCATTTCTAATTTTACCGCATCTCTGCTACACTTAGTTTATTCTCGTGTTTGTTCTTTACAGCCTAACATTCTTACCACCCAATTTCAAGATGGAAGAAAAAGAACAAATTTGACCAATAACAACAACTCCTACATGTAGCTTAAAACAAGAGAAAGGCAACAATTTACCTCCATGACTTTGCTTTCGTAGTCGCGAAGCTGCTGCGCATATGTCATTTCCTTGTTTGAAACTCTGAAGATATATGTTGAGATCCATCCAATAGTGAGGCCCAAAACCAGCACAAGTTGAACCACATTTCCAGCTTGTAGTGGATCAACTCCAACATACTGCACATTATATCCAACAATAGTTGCATCAATAATTGAAAAAAGTAGACACGATATTTGTTAACGCAGTTTGGCCAAATGTACCTCTAATCCGGCTTTTAAGCCAATGCCGAGGAAAGTAACACCAAGTCCAATTAATATAACATCTTTCCTTGAATATCCAAATGGTGTCTTCTGTAACATTCAAAAAGAAATTAAGCAGTAAGTAAAAAAAAAAGCATATATATGAAGATAATACATAACAAGGTATATAACTACATGCCTTAGTCTGATTAGAAGTGTCATCATCAGTGGAGTTTGAAGAAGAAGAAGAAGAAGTAGTATTTCTAGGGATAGAGAATCTGTCATTCTTTGAAAACTTGGCACTTAATCTTTTTCTTGTTAAAGTAAAACTAGTGTTTCCATTTAAACACTGTGGAATGAATGTTCCTGAGAAATTAACTGAAACAAATCAGAATTAGAAGATAATAATACAAGTGGAGAATAAGGAAATAAAATGAACAGACCTGTGTGATGAGAAGGTGAAGAAGCAGGTTGCAGACCCCTCCGTTGGAAGAAGGGTAAAGCAGAATAAGAAATGCAAGATTTAGTATAAGACATGGCTAAACAAAAGAGAAAAAAACTGGGTTTGAAGTTTGAAGGGACGAGTGGAGAGGAGAAGAGATCAGGTTTTCTTCAACTTCAATGTCCCAACAAATTCGTGTGTTTCTCATTACCCCCATATGGTTGGGTCCCATATGCCACATACTACTAGATTTTTTTTTCTTTTGAAATAAACCGACCTTCAAACTTTATTTTGGATTTCTTAATAACGCACCTCCTAAAAATATATTTATGTCTTTAAATTTCGGAGATATATCTTCGAATACACTGAAATTCAAAATAATGTTGAACAAAGTATTTTTAGAGTTTTGGAGAAGGTTCGTCAGACTTATCGTTGTTGCCTCTTTATCTGAACCATGTTGTCAGACATATTTGAGACTGAAAGGTAAAATTTAGTTGAAATTATTCATTTAAACATGTGTTTGTTTTATTATTAACTTTTATTTGTTTGAATCATTCTTAATAAACCATGTATGCAGGAACGTGATTCGCTAAAATTCATCAACTATATGCGGAAGATCACTTGTCTGAAAGAGCCCAATGAATCGTGGTTTCAGAAAGTTTTGCAGCTATCAGGGATGCAGGACTTGAGCAAGACTAGTTATCTTACAGTTAACCATGGTGTGCTTAATGCATTTGTAGAGAGATGGCACATGAAGACGTCATCATTTCATCTACCACATGGTGAGATGTCTATCACACTGGAGGATGTCTCGTGTTTGCTGAATCTTTCGATTAGGGGGAGACTTTTAGATCATGGAAGGTGTAACAAATAAGATGCACCAAAGTTGTTGGTAGACTATCTAGGAGTTGACCAAGAGGATGCCATTAAGGAGCTTGACTTCACCCGTGGGGTCCATGCTAGGTTTAGGTTTTTGCAGAAGGTGTTTGATCATGAGATATCAATATAACAAGTTATTGGTGATAACGAGCAGGTATGGCTGCATAGAAGGTATGTTATAAGAGCATACCTGTTGTATTTGGTTAGCACTGCCACTTTGTGGACAAGAGTGCCACTTATGTGGATGTCATATACTTGCGATACTTTGAGGACTTTGAGCAGATCCATGAGTACAACTAGGGAGGTCGCTTATTTGGTCTACTTGTACTCTAAGTTATCTAAGGTTATATGTGGAAGACGAGTCACATGACAGGAAATATCACATTTTTTGCAATAACATTTATTGGTATTTTATTGCTTGTGTGTAACTTTGTTAATTATTGCAACATTGTTACTAAATAATGATTCGTCTTTTCGGGCTTGGATCCTACAGCCTTCCCAGGGCTGGTCATGTCTACTAACTTATACTAAGGACATGTCGTGTGCTTAGGCATTTTCCTCGCTTAGAGGGAACCAGGCGTCATGTCGCGTGCTTACGTCAATCACCGTGAGACTATTCCCTTTGATGACAATGTCTTATACTCGGGATGATTGGCTTGCGAGTCAAGTTTGACGACTCCTTATATGCCAAAGTGCTTCATGCATCAGTTCGGCTATATGTAGTACATTCTCAGAAATCCTTCTATCTCTGCTCCTCCCACTATGAAATGCAAAGATATGGATGTTATGTTTGATGATTATCTTAATCATATGGTACTAGAGGAGGCATTGAGTACCATAGCTGAGAACAATTGAAGCTACATAGACGGTTACATCTGATGGTTCTTCCGAATGTCACATCCTTATATGGTACATGATGCTCTACGAGATTCACCTAGGCCAGCTCATCAGGAGATACTAGAGGAGGAGCATGCTAGGGAAAATCATGTTGTTGATGTCTTGCCTAGGTGTTGTCGTATCATGTAAATTGGGCAGATGTGTATTGACAAAGGAATCTTTCTTGATGGTTCTAAGGCGAGGGGAATTGTAGATGCCATGATGGAAGAGGCTCGAGAGGCTCTGTAGTACATAGGGCAGCGTAGGAACAGAGAGCACGGGGGTGAAGCCGACTCTGAGTCTGTCATACGCAATAGATTAGTGTATTTGTACTCTTGATATATTTTGGATTATATTAGACATATCGACTTCGTTGTAAATTTTGGATTGAAGTTATGTTATCTTGACTTATAACTTTATGTATTTCATTTTATTCATATCCTTAGTATTGTCGAATCTTGGAATACCTTCTAACTATTTGATATGAGAAGCTGTGATACGGTGGCAGAACCGACTGTTTAATACTGGTTTGCGTTTTTTGTTCGCAAATGTCGCGGTAAGCAAGAGTCGCCACCGACTTTTCTTTTATCCAACAAAGGAAAGGGTGAAAAGAACAGAAAAAGACCTTTTTCGAGATTTTTCTGAGTAAGGGGGGTAAATTATGGAAAGGGAAGGTATTAGAACCCTTTCCATCCGTGGTTTTCCACGGGCTCTTAGGTGCTTGCTCATTTTTGAAAACTGTTTGTGTTTGTATGTTTTGAAATATTTTTATTTGCTTTATGGGAACTCTTGTATCACTCCTCAAGAGTGTGATAAAGAGTTTTTGAAAATAGTTTTTGAAAAATGTGTAAGTGTGAAAACTTAGGTTTGAACAAGTACTTAAGAGTTATCTACCTACTCGAAAAAGGATGTTCTTTTCCTCCTACCCTTAGATAGTGCTATCCTACTATTAGTGAGTAGGTAGCCCTATCATTAGATGTTGAGGGACTATCGAAAGGGACGTTATGGTCATCGAAGGCAACATGTAAGAATATCTTAGCATTCTAAGGTACGGTCATCATATAAGCAACATCGAGGGACAAGATCATTTCTCGTAGGCAACTCGAGGGATATTAGGGACCATGATCTTTTTGATGACTTTAGTACCGAGGGTCTTTGCTAAGATATCCCTACGTTCGAGAGACATGACTATTTCCGAAGGCAACCAAGTGAGGAGTACCCTAAGAGTACAGTTGTGAAAAGTGTGTTTTTCATTTATATTATCTCGAGGTTAGTGTTCTAACGATTAATTGACTTTATCTTGTCATGCACGCCTAAGTTACTAACAATTATATATACAGAAAAGTAAAATGCGGAAAGTATAAATCTAGACTATTATATGGCTTCGGGGAGGGGGATTTACATTCCAAAGCAAATGGGGAAAATAAAATAAAGCAATAAAAAGAGTCTACTTATCATCTATTACATTCCATACAACAATTACAATAATATAAACAATGCAAAAGGAAATAAACGCGCGAAAAGTTGAAAGTACGTCTGAAAACATAAACGAAAATCTTTTTGTTGTTGGTTTTGTTAAAGAAAAATAAATTCTAAATTTAATTAAGAAAAAATAAATACTAAATGGAAGAATTAATCTAGATTATAAAAGAAAAAAAAAACTAATCCTAATATATTTTTTTGTATTTTTTATTAAGAAAATATTGACAAATAAATTAAATCTAATTAATTAATTAAAATAAAGAGAAAATTATTAATTAAAAATTATTCTATACTATCTTAATTTTTTGTAATTTATTATGAAAAGGGAATGATTAAATTAAATTCTAAGTTCTAGTTCATTTTAAATAAAAAAAAGGTAAAATTCAATTAATTAATTAATTAATTAAATTAAAAGTCTATGCCTAATTTTTATGAGTTTTTAGATTATTTGATCAATTAAATAAATGAAGAAATTGGGGGGGGGGGGGGTGTTGTTTGAAAAGTTCGCTGGGCTCAATAGAGAACCCAGACTTGCCAAAAAAATCCAGTGGGACAACTTCTGTATGTCCACGGTGAACTTGAAGGTTGGATGCCTTGATCCAGATTAGATGTGCATATGATGGTGTGAATTGATGGTGTACCATGCGTGCTTTGCCATGAAGAGCACTGAATCTGTATAAAACAATTGTTAGAAAACAAAATTCTGGACCTGAGATTCGAACCCAGGTTCTCTCCCTAACATCAACGCTTCTTTGCCAACTGAGCCATTTTATCATTCGTTATATAAAATGAAACAAGAATATTATATACAACAAAACGTCAATATCTTAAAGAGAGAAAAAAATGCGCGCTTATTTGAATGGGCCAATGGGATAATGCCACGCTTCGTCTTCTTCACCTTATGTCGTCTTAGGTACTGCAACCTATAGTGACAGTTTTCATTTGTCACTATAGCACCTGCACTCAGCAAAATCCATGATACGCAACATAAATTGAATGTGAGGCCATAGATCAATTGGCGTCATCCTCCTGAGCACGATGGTGCCCTTAGTTTGGGCTAATTTTGGCCAATACCAAAAACCCCAATTTTGAGGTTCAAACCCTAGCCATGGCAACCTGTTATACCTGCACTCAAACTTTGATTAAACTATCCATAAACATTTCCATGATGATCACAAACATAAATATGCAGTCAAATCATGTTTATAATGCATAAATGAATGAAAACAAGATTTAAAAAAACAAGAGCAAACCGTGATTTGTAGGGAGTGTTTCGCGAAGCTACAGGGCTCAAGAATGGTCGTGAATCCTTCAGTGGCATTCAAGGATGACTGCTGAAGGCTCAAAAGCTTCAGAATTGCCTTGGAATTTGAGAATTAAGTTTGACATTTTCTTGAGAATTTCAAGTTTGGAATATGGTCTCATACTGTTTTTTCGTCCCCATTTGGCTTGCTAGGCTTGGAATTTATAGAGAGTAGCGACGAGACGAAGAAACAAGGGCAATAACCACCATGATTAGGTGGTTTCAAAACCATGAATGCAAAGTTGTAACCTTGGTCAAAAGCATGGTATTTTGTCTATTTTTGAATTTTGAATGAATATAGACATGATGGCCTTGCTGTACACGAAAATTGGGACCCCTCCATGCATTAAAATAAGCCTTAACCATATTGATCCATATAATTTGCAATAATTTTGATTTGTTTGATTTTTAATTAAATAAAATTAATATAAAATTCAAATAAAATAAAGACTATGCAAAAATTGTTTTAAGAGTCCTCTATACTCTTAGGAAGATGTTTGAAGTCCAAAAAAATGAGCCATTGCCTTAAAAGCTCAAATTTGCTCAATGCATATT